TTAATTGTCGGTGAAAGACTCTGAAACTGTTAAATAAAGATTTAAATTTACGTTTTAAAAGTTTAATTTATTTGATTAACAATGACTTCTTATATCAATACCATAATTATCTTGGTACATTTTTATCTGGTAAGTCAAAACCATATTTACTTTCGAAATTCCTATTCTGGCGCGTGAGTGAGCTATGAAAGAGAAATTTATGCAATTTACTTTATGATCACTTTTCAACAACTGTATTATTCCACTATTCACTAAATTTTTGTGAAGTTTGTTGGAATTTCGGGTTACGGAACCTTTGGGTTAGTTTCTTTACTATTATTTTCAATTGTAAGGACTAATTCTAATGTTTTGTTGGGCGCAAGAGACCAGGCTCGATTGTCTGCGTCAAAGAATGTTGTGTCTGCGTTCTACTTTTATCTTCTTAATTTTAATTTCGGATTCTCGGGGCTTCTGGCAGCGAGGTGTTCAAGAGAATTCACTGTTGATAAATATAGACACTAAACTGGACACTGTAGGGAAATAGGAACACATTGTGAACTGAACACTAGGAAATGTGTTCAATACGTCATTTGGATATTAGTTGTCGTTGTTCGGGACATGAGATAATTACACAGCGATCTTCTGCGTTATGGCAGCGTGAAATTGGTATGTGAGAAATAGCGTTTCGGATAAAAATGTTGCCACCATCAGAAGAGAACAAATGTAAGTTGAGAAAGTGACTGGTTATACGTGTATAATCGCCGTTCAGAGCTTTGGTGCCCATGTGCCAGGCTACATAACACAAAAGACCGAATATCGCTCATCATCGCCGTGAAAACTTCAGATCTCGTGAGTTCATTGAAGGAATATGTTATCCGAATACTTGAACATGTGGCAGAAATGTGTGTATATATAAATGCATGACTGTAGGCAGATAAGTTGCAAGTTACACTAAAGCCACTCTTCCCCGCAGTAACAGAGCATGTCAGCGTAAGACAAATCGTGGGAGGTCGCTTTGGTGAGCTGCTGTCACCAGTCGCTTTCGCTTACACTTCGGCGTGTAGGCTACGTAATTCGTGTTCCCATCTCTTTCCCTCGTCCACTCTGCTTGAACTGATACTCCACGAATTGGTATAATCTGATGGTACTCTTCGGAGTTCCCTGCACAGTGAAAACTGGAGTTTCACATGTAGTCGCTGACTATTGGTCGAAATCTTTATTTCAGTCTCTCCTGTTTCACATTCTCTTGCACAGCTGAAATCTTACAATACTCGTAAACCGCAATTTTCCCCTTCCGACTCATTGTTCATCTGTCTTAAGACAAAAAGCTGTATACACGAGTATGGACCCAGAGTGACATTAGAAACATACAAAGATACATTTATCTTCTTGCGTAATGTAATCCCTTCATTCCACCTAATCTGTAATATCGATACAGCAACACTGAATAGTCAAAGCAGCAAGCCATCTCAGCCAACATAAGAGAATCCAAGGCATCCGACACACATGTCCTATATTTGTGTGATAACGTTAAGAAAGAGGTGTGTTATATTTTATTAACAAAGGAAAATGGATACACCAAAATGGTTCCAGCCAGACTGCAGAAAGAAACTTCTCATTCTATAACAAGCGAAGTGTCGGGTAAAGAGACGAACCCCTTAAAGTAAAGCCCGATGATGTGATATGTGCTGTCTGGACCAACATAATTGTAATCCGCCTGTTAGTAAACACAGAGAGAAGAGTTAATAAACAAGCGCATACTTTGTCTTCCTCAATTAAGCTAGGCATATATTGACTGCTACCATTTCCGTCCATGTTGGTTGAGGCACTATGCTACAAGCCGGAAGGTCGTGGGTTCAAGTCCCGATGAGGTCATTGGATTTTTTCAATTGACCTAATCCTTCAAGCCGCACTATGGCCCTGGGGTCGACTCAGCCTCTAACAGAAATGAGTACCAGGAATTAATTAAATAATTTTCCTGGGGAGTAAAGCGCGGCCGGCGGCTAAGGGTGACAAACTTACCCCCAGCTTTGAGCCGATTGTCTAGATAATGTGGGACCCTCAACGTCTCACAATCCTATGGGCCTTCACGGCCTGTTACAGGGATACCTTTAGTTCTTACTTTTTTTACTTGAATACCTATCATCGTCGCATTCGAATCTAGGTAAGTTCATGAGTTGGTACAATGTCTAGGAATAATTGAAGAATCATTCAGTAATTGTCAGCAGAAAGAGACACCAGGAGCGTTGCATGGAACAGCTGTAGTCGATTACACGTTCACTGAGTGTATTTTTAACTTGGCCAAGCTGACTGTATGACAAGAGTCGGCAGGCCAGAAGTAGACAGAATCAGAGTTAACATAGCGCACTCGACCACTTCTGGAATACTTTCATTTTTTTGTGTCAACATTGTTAGAGGGAGGCAATCCCTCTGTTGTTGGTTTTTCTCGTGCTCTGTGGTAATGTAGTCTCCCTTCTCCCCGTCAGTCTACTCAAGTGGTGCGTCAGATTTCACACTTCCATCAGGGTCAAAGGTCAAGACACGAGAGGATGGGAAGGGTGCTCGTTACTGGATAAAACGCCATGGAAGTATTACTAAGACGCTTTTTTGTGTGTACGTCATTAAAGAAAATAGGGAAACGCTCTTGTTCCGTAAGTATTCCTAATGGGGACCGCGATATTTGATATTTTAAAGCCTATTATTTAATGACTCGGTGGATTTGTTCTTGACGGTAAAAAACTTTTCATTATTTGTTTGTTTCCATCATATTGTCCCTATCTGCATTTTTTTAAGAAACTCGTTTAAATTGCATTATAGGTTACTTAACAATGGTGTATTAGAATTTGTAGGAGGTGAGATATTACAGCCTGAGCTCCACAAACTCATTAATTCTATTTGGAATAAGGAATAATTTCCTAACCAGTAGAAGAAGTCTATAATTGTGCCAGTTTACAAGGAAGGAGGTAAAACTGACTACAGTAATTATCATGGGATATAACTGTTATCAAATTATTACAAAAAATTATCCAATATAAATCCCTCAATGATAAGTCCATATGTAGAAGGAAACATTGGGGGTTATCAGTGTGGCTTTCAACATAACAGATCAACTATTGGTCGGATTCTTGCATTCATTAGATACAGGAGAATAAATGGAGTGGCAATAAGACAGTACATCAGCTATTCATAGACTTGAAGAAAGCTTATTATTCAGTTAGGAGGGAAGTATTGTATAATATTCTCATAGAGTTTGCGATATCCATGAAACTGATTAAGCTGATAAAAATGTATTTAAGTGAAGCCTATACGTATAAGTAAGCATTTGTCCGATAAGTTTCCTATCCAGGATGGTCTAAAACAAGGAGACTGCCTTAACGCCACTGCTTTTAAATCTTGCTTTAGAATATGCCATTAGGAAGATATAAGGAAACCAGGTGGGACCGAAACTAAACGGGGCACATCAGCTGTTGATCTATTCTGATGACACAGATCTATTGGGAGATAAGATAGATACAAGAAAGAAAAATACATACATTTTAATTAAGGCTAGTAAGCAGTTTGATCAACGTAGAAGTAAACTCAGAGAAAGATAAGTGTACGAGTATGATGCTGTCTCATCACCAGAGTGCAGGACAAAATAATGAAATAAAGACAGCTAACAAATCCTTTTAAATGTTGCACATTTCAAATATTTGGGAACGACAGCAAGAAATCAAAATTTGATTCAGGAGGAAATTAAGAGGAGATTGAACTCTGGTACTGCTTCCTACCATTTATTCCCGAATCTTTTGTCTTTTCATTTTCTGTCTAAAGACGTAAAAATTAGAATATAAAACATATAATCTTCCCTATGGCTTCGTATGGATGTGAAACTTGGTCCCTGACATTAAGGGAGACTGAGGGTGTCTCAGAAGATGAGGCACTTTGGACCAAAGGGAGTTTAAGTGACAGGAGGTTGGAGAAAACTGCATGATGAGGAGCTTCATAACTTGTACGCTTCTACAAGTGTAATTAGAATGATCCAGTAAAGGAGGATGAGGTTGGCTGGGCACGTAGCACGCATACGGAGAAGAATGCATACAGAATTTTGATGGGAAAGACAGAAAGACAAAGACAACTAGAAAGACAAAGGCATAGGTGGGTGAATAATATTAGAATGGATCTTAGAGAGATAGAAGTGGGTGGTATGGGCTGGATTGATCTGGCTGAAGATAAGGGACCAGTAGAGGGCTCTTATGAACATAGTAATGAACCTTCGGTTTCTATAAAATGTTGGGAAGCTCTTGAGTAGCTGCGCAACTGCAGCTTCTAAGAAAAACTCAGTTCCATAGAGTAAATTAGTTAGTATCAGAATTCACTTTTCATATCTGAGTAACATCCAATGACACCATGTTACAAATGCCAGGATGTAAGACAGAATATTCCGCTCACTTTAGCGGCCTCCGTAGTCTAGGGGTAACGTTCCCACCTCTATGACTCGAGGTACGCGGGTTCAAACCCGACGGAGGTCGTGGAATTTTTAAGGGCGGAAAAATTCAGGGAACAAGTCCTCCGGGAGGGGCTTTAAGCCATGGGTCCCATGTCGTAGTTTTACGGCACGTAAAAGATCCTCATGTCTCTAGGAGATCTCTGAGCAAAATTAGGCAACAATTTCCCGCCCAAGTAGTTTCCAATGCCTCTGGTAGATGGGGGAAATATCAGGTACCGATGGCCGGCCTCGTTGGCTGAACAGGGCTGATAGACGCACCAGTACCAGTAGGGTACGGCGAAAGTAGAAATTAAAGGGGGACGTACAATGAACCAATAACTGGTCTAAGTGCATGGGGAAACCCACCCCCTCTAATAATAATAAACAATAATAATTCCACTCGCTTTTGTACCAATTTACCATGAGAACCATTTCCCTACTCCAACTTAGACTTACTTATAAACAAAACATGGCTTCTCTCTATGATGGCATATGTTTTGAAAGAGAATTGCTGAAAATGTATCGATTGGTTTATCAAAAGAATACTACTCACCTATTGGATGTCTAGTTGGTACATGGTATCCAGACCCTTCATTTTGTTCTACAAGAAAATGTTCCAAACTTGAACACTGAGGTGAAACACGAAGACACTGTTCTGTAACCATTTCACCACTCATCTGTTTGATAGCTGACATGTTGCTGCACCCGCTGTTCACACTGCACTGTGTTTGTGATTTATTCGTCTCATAAATCCCAGAAGATTCAGAATCAGTTACATTTCTCGAATGAAACGAAGGGAAACTGAGCGGTCTGCACGAAATGAGCTCCGCTCTTCCGGTTCCACTATCTGATTTATGTAAACTCATTAAGATTTCTGAACACGGAACTAATGCAGCCCTTGTGTCCTTGTATGTACTCCGATTCATGATTTCGTTATGTTTCATCATTAAATCTAATCTGTCTAATATTTTAGATTGATTGTCAATACCGAGTTTCACTTTCACAATATCCGGTATTAAACCACGGCACTTAGTTCTTATTTGTTCTGGCATCGAACCCGCGTTTCTTGATACTCTCTTCTGGAAAGTTCGTTCCCTTGATGGCTGTTCTTCAGTCTTGGGCTCGATCATTGCCTCAATTTGTTCAAGCGTTGCGTTCTTTCGGACTTCTGTTGGACATTTCTGGAACCCTGATCTGGCCTTGAACGGAAACGAATTACTCTGCTGATAGGTTACACGAACGGCCTCACAGATGGGTTCAATTGAAATGTCTTCTACCTTTACATTGTCTGATTGCATGGGACAATCTGTACGTTCTGGATTATTTGACGTCATTAATGAACCGTTTCCTGAAAAGTTACTTTCTCTATCCTGATTCGGGCAACAAAATTTTTCCTGCATTCCTTTAGGAGGAATAGGCTGGCCTCCTGCGTGACTAATTCTTGAGAGACTTTCTGGAAAATGTAACTCTTTTTTATCCGTATTCCCATAATTTTGCTGGTTTAGTTGCATTTCCTCCAGCTTTTCAGCCGAAAAAAATTTTAAAGTATCCAAGCCCTCTTGGTTCACTTTAGTGCTGGGTGACTTTTTTGTTATTTCACTCTTTGTATGAGATCCAGAAAATTCTGGAATCCTTTGTGTGAGAGATTCGCCCTGTTTCGCGCCAATTACATCTACATAGCTGTGAAAGAAATTTGTAGACGTTTGTATTCCAGATGGTTCCACAGTTTTCTCTCTGGTGCCTGGTAATATTGTTGAGTGTGAAATTAAGTTCTGTGGTTTTTGAATAGGCACAGTTGTGCTACGTTCCATTGACTCCTTTACTGAAGTGCTGGTTGTTTCATTATCAATTTCTTTATTTATTTCACTGAAAAATTCACTCTCATATATCTTCATCCAGCCTTCAATAGCTTCAATTTTGTCAAGTTTCTTTACATCGCTTATACACTCTAATGCATGGACGTAGGGCTGTGTGATGTAGTCATTGGCACAGATTTTACCTCGTGCTGAAGGCACAGGGGATTGTTGTGTTGATGAGATAAATTCTTGTACACATCCTTCGGTTATTGTATGCATTTTCGTGTCTTGCTTATAGTTGCGCTCATCTCTTCTATCTGCAAAGGAATTCCCGTGAGGTAAGGTTTTCCCTGCTTGCGACTTGTCTGGCGGAACTTCAGAAAGCTGACACTCGACATTCTGCCTTCCAAAGTCTGAATTATAAATTTCGTTTGCCTTTATTACAGTATTTTCACTTCCACTTTCTTTCTCGTCACAGATATCTCTCAACTGAATTTTATCCACAGCAATTGTTCCAATACAATTGTCTGCAAAACTATCACTTGTTTGTGCCCTCAAAACCAGTGATTTTTGAAGATTTTGTTCCGACTCATATTCAGACACTTCTGTTTCTTGATCTCCGTTCACCTCTTGACTGTCAAGATAAAATCTGCTGGTCCCTCCGAGTCTAACTTCCTTTTGGTTACGCCAGTTCATCTGCTCGTTCTTGTGGTCGTTATCTCGCTGGTTGTGAACGCGATATATTTCCTGTTCTGAACTTCGTTGTTGTTGCTTCTGACTCTGCTGCTTTTTGCCGAGAGGTTTGAAGTAATTTTGTTTTGTTACAACAACAAAACCAGCAACTTCTTCCAGTTTCTTTCTCGGAGGCTGCCGCGATTCTATCGATGGCAACGAGCATGTTGAAGTGGTAGACCTAAACAAAGAGATGCATCATTGCTTAATATTTAATACAGACTTTACCATATACTTAAATTAGACTAATCACTAGAAACATTGAACTGTTGCAAGACTGTTCTTGATACTTCCGTCTGCAAAGGGATCTGCTTAGGAACGGGTTCCAATATTAACAATTATATCAATTTAAATATTCTCTTAGATAGCAGGGAATTAAAAGAAAAACAATTTGGACGTTTACACGGATCATATGATATGTTACAATAGTTATAGTTCGACCTATTAAAGATTTTTGAACACACAGGCTCATAAATATTCTTGTACATATTATTAAACCCAAAGAAAAATAATTTTATTTTAGTTTAGGTTTTGAACATGAAATTATGGTCACAACATTTTTAAATTACTCTTTATATGAGATTGAAACCTCCTCTTCGTTTCTGGATACATAAGAGTTTTCGTCTATTTATCTAATATCCACGATTTGGACCATAAATGTTTTATCCTTTCCCACCTCCTTTTTTTGACTTGCTGTATAAAAATGTGAATTACGAGTGTATAAGTGTACCCTAGGAAGTGCTCATGCATTCCTATGCATGCGACTTGCCTGACTTCTTTTCTAAGCTACATCAACAAGGGAGTCTAACACGAAGACCCACCTAGGGGCCCAACATAATATTTTTTATCTGATGACGGAAATTGTGTCCATTTCAGAAAATGGCGATTTTAAACAAGTTTGACGATTTGAAAAAAGCAAAATCTTAATGAATATTCGCGTAATTTTGCACGTGTTTTCTATCCTTAGTATAGTATAAGCCCTGCAAAGAAGCTTCTGTTATCAGAAATTTTGATTTTCTTCCAAAAGAATTTATGATTTTTACGAGAATTCTAAATAACGAGCTGGCCTACCTGAGCTGTGCATTTAAAGTAAGAAACCTGCAAGAAATATTACGGTATTATAAATAATCTAATATACGTATATAAATTTATATATGAAACCAAAACGATATAGATAAATCCAAGAAGCTTAAATGGTAAATTATTTACTTGAAGTCAAGAGGTGCTCACTTTGAATATTTGTCGGGGCACCGACTATTGTAATTAAAATTTCACGTAATTCGCTTAGTACTTTCAGACAAAATTTGGGAGACTGCTTTAAAGTATTCCACTCTCGCTTCCCCACCTTTCTTTCCAATTTATATAAATCGCTGCTAGAGCTATAACGTTGTCAAATAACCTATGAGCCAACCGATCTCAGTACTTAATCTTTAGATTTTGCAAACAAAATCATTTTGCAAAATTGTGACACAGAACTTTAATAGTCTTTATTAAAAAATATCCCTCGTCATCACATCGCTATGCAACTTCGGGTGGTCAATGAGATGATCTCCAGATGTGGAGAGGAGCTGTGAATTTATTTTGAAAGCAGTTACAGATAGTTGTCTGGTCGTCCATCTTTAGGGTTGTGCAGAATACTAAAAATTCCACACAGTAAACATATGACACGTTACAAGGCGTTACACAACACCTCAAAATTGAATAGTTCATTTATGAGTATAACCATCTGAGTAGCGAAAAATATCTTGATTTATTTGTTATTAACAGGGCCCGGATTTTGATGACATGTCATCTTTTTTTCTTTGTATCCTATGCGATGCTCTTAAATAAATAAATCTCGGATATGAGCTGCTGGTTACAGAAATGTAAATTTTATAAGTAATTTTTTGTCATTTTTTGACATTTTTAGGTTTAAGGTCATTTTTTCATTTTGGGGGTAATTTTTTGGTAAATATTTGGACTTTTAAGGGTATTTCTTGTCATTTTTGGCCATTTTAGGGAATTTTTCTTCATATGTTTTCTGAAATGTGAATAACATGGAAGTTAAGTGTTCTTTCTTTTCTCCTTTAGGTAATTTTTGTGGATTTTTTCGGTCATTTTATAGGTCACTTTTTAAATATTTTCAGGTCATCAAAATCCGAGACCTTCACATTACATTTTTGGATCATATTTTAGGTAATTTTTCTGGATTTTTTCAGTCATTTTTTAAATATTTTCAGATCATCGAAATCCGGGCCCTGATTATTAATATGGCTTGGCATATACACGCAATTCAATTGGTTCAGCATGGCATGGGGCCCAGTAGCGAGGTCTTGTCAACGCAATAACGAAACTTCGGGCTTAATGGAAGGTGGAGAATTGATTGATCATCTAAGGAAATATTAACTTTACAGCAAGGCCTCTCTCATCTAAGAGGTCAATTACGCAGGAGAGACTGGCATTACTTTTATTACGAAGCTCACCCAAAGGTGACCACTCAAACGAGGAAGTAGATGGGAGGCTAAAAATAAAACTGACAAATCGATTGCGAAATAATGAAATTAAACTGGCTCAGGATAACGGATTTCTTACTCCACAGTATCGATAATAGTGTAGATTACATATAATGGTCTTTGTGTCCAGTAGAAACTTACCCATTTTTCACGGATGAAGTCGGTAAGCTGTCTGGAAATTTTGTTTTCACTTCCACACGTGAGGACACAGTAACCTCCACAGGAAGAGATGCCGCTCCAGTGCTTCTGTTACGAGTGTCAGTAACACTACGATCACTGCTCGACTCACTGCTGTTCGATTTGCTGATCGGCCTCTTCATCGGCTTATTGCACACAGAAGGCAAGTCTGGTACATCTTGCCTGGTTGACGTGCATTCTGTTGAGGTTACAGACGACTGCTGAGACTGCGGTATGGAAGGTAATGTGAAGGGTTTATGGCTTGGTGAGTAGTTATATTTTGGTACTTGTTCGTGGGGAATTTGGGGCATTGAGCTGGCTGGAGATTGGAATGTTGGCGTGGAATATTTTTTCATTTTACAAGATGGTAGTTGAAATGCTGAAGCTGCTGGTTGCTGAAGTCTTTCTTGATGTTTATTTGTTCTTTGTTGTTTTCCTTTCTTAACGTCCATGTCTTAAATTAAGTTTCATATACAGGCCTATGAATATTCTGGATAGAGACTGGCTATGTTCTGGATGACCAAGGGATCAGAGTTCGAGTCCCTGTGGGGACAAGAATTTTCACTTCTCCATGTCGTCCAGACCGGCTCTGGGGTCCACCCAACTCCTATCCAGTGGGTACCGGAGACTCCTTCCCTGGGGGTAAAGCGGCAGGGGCGTGAAGCTGACTACTCACTTTCAGCTAGTGCTCAGTTAAAAAAATCTGGATCTATATATCCGCTCCCCCATACGCCTTCATGACGGAGTGCTTAATTAGTTAAGCACAAGGAAAACTTTACCGTTTATACAGGCCTGTGTGTGTTGTAGGAATTGTTTAATCACTCATTTTTCGTTACAGCTGTTTAATTGTCTCAGCATTATCCTCAGTTATTCATTTTAATGCGACATAAATTATTTGTTCCCTCTGTCTAGATATTATGGAAAAGGCTATTATAAAGCAATTTAACAGGAATGCAATATTCAAAGTCTTCATTGTTTAGAATTCGGTAAACAATGACGTATAACTTAACACTTCAAATTCTGAAAAAGGGAATTGTAATTTAGTCACATCATCTATTTGTTATTTAGTGATGTCATTCACCTTAGACATCTATTGTTTTCACATATTACAAAACAAGACTATTAGTAACTTCTTAGCAGTAGGAATCGTGAAGTACCATGGAAATTCAAAGCTGAATATTTCTTTTAAAAATCGGTATATGAAGGGTTCATATACAGACATTAAATTTCTTCTTAGAAATAATGTTATTAATACAGTCACCAAAATATATTCTCTTAGTTCAATGACCAAAATTAATATATGTTTAAATTTAATTCCAGAAAAAGAAATTTGTGTTCTCATGTGGTTGTAAAGAATTATTTAAATTAGAAACGCATTGTTTTATGGGGCGCCTTGCTTATCAGTTATTAGATACTGTGAACGTTGTCTTCAGCACAAGTGTTAAACTTGGTTATATAACTTTGTGCCACAATTTAAATTTTTATATATTATAACATTTGAGAAATAATCCTATAATTTCCTGTCTAGCAGTGTAAAAATTTTGCTTTCATTCGTATCAAAACCGTGAATTGAAAGAAATTACTGTCCATGTACCAAGTACTTATAATACAGGCACGCACAATATTCAGATTTTCCGGGTAGCACTGTCCACTCTCCTCAGTATGCCCAACACTTCACCGTACTGTAGCATAGCAAGACGAAGGAACGCTGTGCCCGACGCCGTGAGAACGGGACTGACAATGTGACGTTAATTTCAGTTGCCGAGGGTAAAGATAGTTCCCCTTCCTAACATCCTCCTGGTTGAACCTGCCAAAACACTTTCCATTGCCTCTGGATACGAAAGTGCGGCGAATCTGTTTCCATCTGCCCCTCAAACATAAATGTAAATGAGGAATGGAAATGCAATGACAAGACAGTCATGGTACAGAGTTTGCGTGTAAACTTGACTATCTTCTGATAAAACCCAAAATGCCATTATCGTCTTCACAAAAACTCTCGATCTCGAGCCAGGTCAAATATCCCATTCCTCTAAGATTAATTTAAATATTATCACACTCTTCTCCAAGCAATCCCGTATCTCTCGTTTCTCCCAAGTTTACTGTAACGAGTGGATTCATGCAACGGAAAATTTCTCGCATGCAACTTTACCACTTTCCTTTTACTTCTTCTGTAAAAAGTAAAGTTGTCCCTGTGCTTAACTAATTAAGCACTATGCCATGAAGGCGCGTGGGGGAGTGGATATATAGGTTCATATTTGCTTGATATCGGCACTAGTTAGAGATGAGAGGGCAGCTTCACGCCCCGGCCGCCTTAACCCCGGGGAAAGAGCTTCCCGCCCCCGTACTCATTGGATAAGAGGTTTGGTGAGCCCCAGAGCCGGTCTGGGCTACGAGGAGAAGAGAAAATTCTTGATCCTACCAGGACTCGAACTCCGACCCCTCGGTCGTCCAGCCCGTAGCCAGTCGCTGTACCGACTGCGCTATTCCTGTTTCTTTGGTACTGTTCGTTAAACACATTCGATGTGTATTCTTTTATGGTGGAGAGAGAATGTGTTTCAGAAACATGTAAAATGAAGATAAAATTACATCTCTTTATATTTCAATTTTATTCTAAGTGGGGATAAAATAATTTGAATATGAGGTAGAGTGCATCTACAGGGGAATCGTGGTCTCGCCATTATACAGAGGTGTTCGCGTGCCCTCGTTAAATACTCAACGGCATTTCGCATGTCTGTGTTCCGAGAAGAGTGTGGGACATACGCGCTGGGAACTGGTCAAGCCTACAGCGTCTTTATAGTTAAATTTAGTCAAAGAGGAATTCTACTTTCTGGCAACAGCGGTCGTGATGTTCAAGGTTCATGTGGTCTTGTCTTGAGACTGCTAGGATCGCGATTTTGTGACTTCTCAGTACGGAAACTGCACACCATCGGCCGGTAACAAGAACTGGAATTGAGTCTGAAGGCGGCTGCTGTCGCCTAATCGAGCCGGGAAGGACTGAAGAAAATCGAGAAATGCTTAGAAAATCTGGTGTCCCGGGAGAGATACGAAGGAAGCACATCCAGAGCATTATCCCTGAACCAATGTGTCTGGTCGAGTCCAATTTGAGGCATGCATGCATGGCCGCAATGTGTTCTCTACGGATTTGAGCCCTCCGTTTCCCACAACAAATTATGAGCCTGAAAAACTTGAGGCACAATTCGTGATAAAGAACAAAAATAAATTTACTGAATGGTCTGTAGCAGAGAGGGTGGCATTTGTCGAATTTTTGGTAAGTGAAGCTGCTTTCGGCCGGTCATTGTAGCCGAGCGGTGTGAGGCATGCACTGTCTTCGCTCGCTCGGAAGCCGGGATAGTGGGTTCGAATCCCACTCAGGGCATGGATGTTTAGTGTTTGTGTGTGTATGTGCGTTTTCTTATGTTTGTGTGCAGTTAGAGGCCTTGCGACGAGCTGATCACCCGTCCAAGTAGTACTATCGAGTGTTTAAGATCTAGTAAACCGAAGTGAAACGGAGAGTTTCATGGAGGTAGGCCAAGGTCGAAACTGGGGCTGTAGCGCCAAAGGAAAAAAAGAAGAAAGCTGCTTTCATGTCATGCTGACATACAGACGTTTTTGAAACGTCACTTATCAGAACATGATCAGGTCTCTTTGTTTATCCTGAAACAGCAATCCAGTCTAATACACGAAAAGGAACTAAATCTGCATTTCCCCGTGGTATTCGAACCCGCGAACCCAAAGTTCTATCCGCCATGGACAGCGAAGTTAATTGTATCAGGAAAGAAAAAAGAACACTGAAGGCGTCGTGTTGCTCCTCATGATTCGAACAAATCAGTAATCTGATCTACATTCATTCCCAGTTAGGTCAAGTAATCTACTCTGTAGCGAATCTGAAAATGACTTAATTCCTTGTAGCATGAAATTCTCAGTAATACTTCCGGAATCAGTGCCCATCTCACTCAACTGGTTAATGCCACACAGAATAACAAGACTCGTGCAGAACATATAAATGTATTTAAGAGTTTTATATGTTAAGTCGGTGGTATGATTTCCCATCAATACTTACTGATATATTATTCGCAGTTGCCAATAGAAGTTGAAGAGTTTAACTATCGCATACACCGTAACAATCCTTGCATTCCGTGGATACTGAAAACACTACTTGTTGCGTAGCAGATTTTCGTAACTCCATGGAAAAGTTTTCATTGAGAAGCTAATAGTCACTCAGCTGGTCAATAAATTCACCGCCACGCATGGAATCTGAAGGTCACAAAAGTTCGTCACTGGTGAGTATCCAGTCCACACATCCACATGCACTTGCTTCAGCAGGACACGCCCAAGTTCCCCAACTGGTCTCCCTTCCTTGCAGCACACGTCCCACTCGTCCCCCTTGTGCAATTTTTAACGACGCCGTAGAGGGTATAGCGTCGGCCACCTGTCTGGGTCTCTATGGCTGCATATTGTAAAAGTTGTACTAAATTAAATTTATAAGGTATCCGGTTCGATTCCCAGTGTAGAATAGCTATTGCTATATTGCTATATTTACATATATGTAGGGACGAAACCTAACAGCTGATCAGAAGAGTTCCCTTCTGCAGCCGTCTGCATAAAAGTCTTAAACTGTTTAACTGATCAGTATGTCTCTCCAGTCCATACAGCATCATGTTTTCATAGATTACACAAAGTGATGACCACAGAGTCTGTTGCCTTCCGCAAGGTTGGGCATCTTTACTGTGAGAAGGGTTTTGGCTCGACTGTAGAACTGTGGAGAGATTGCACAGGCCACAGGCAAACGTTGTGACTATTATCTCCTTGTGTTCCACTAGATATTTTGAGAAAGATAAAGAAATATCACGGCCAGTGGAGTATTACTCTTAAGAAACTGTTGAGGGGATTGCAGACACCTATCTTCCGTGATTCGCTTCTTGCGCCCTTCCTCCTCCTCCAGCAACTTACCCAGTTTGTTTCACTTATATCCTGAACATGCAGGCCGTATATTACCTCGAAATATTGGTACGCATCTGCCAGCGTATGCAGTGCTGTACCACAGAAGGCCGCAATAAGAATTGTACTGATTTTTGTTGTATGACAAGGGCAGAATCACGCACTGGATCTATTGAGCGTCCAGAAATGTTGTGAGCTGCTCTCCAAGACCTATACTTCCTGTCCACGCGTCACCCCGTGCAGCATCCGGGTAGCACGATGGCGGAATGGCAGCAGGGCACTGCGCCAGATGATGACGTCATACGAGATACCCATGACGCAATCGAAGAAAATTGTTCTACAATTGTTAGCAAGCAGCATAAGAATTACATGATATCAGTGAATTTTCAGCTTAATGTATAAAAACGATAATGAAGAAGAAGATGATAATATTAATAATAATAATAAATATTTACAATATAAAAGAGTCAGACCGTTAATTTAGAAGTCTCTTTCTTCTGCATCCTTACTGATGTAATCGTTTCATTTGCTTTACAGACAACAGCCTCATTACCCGCCATTCGCAACCGTATCGAACAGAGTCCCCTCTGAGAAGTGAACAGTCGCGCAATGGTCATGCCCTTCTCCGACTCTCCACTCCTGCTAATTAG